ACAGAGACAGGGACAGAGACAGAGACAGGGACAGACACAGAGACAGACACAGAGACAGAGAGAGAGACAGAGACAGGGACAGAGACAGACACAGAGACAGACACAGAGACAGAGAGAGAGACAGACACAGAGACAGGGACAGAGAGAGAGACAGACACAGACACAGAGACAGACACAGAGACAGGGACAGACACAGAGACAGACAGAGAGACAGGGACAGACACAGAGACAGACACAGAGACAGACACAGAGACAGACACAGAGACAGAGACAGGGACAGACACAGAGACAGACACAGAGACAGACACAGAGACAGACACAGAGACAGGGACAGACACAGAGACAGAGAGAGAGACAGAGACAGACACAGACACAGAGACAGAGACAGACACAGAGACAGACACAGAGACAGACACAGAGACAGAGACAGACACAGAGACAGGGACAGACACCTCACAGCTGAGTATTGTGACGTTGTTTTGACTCCATGTGTTGAAGGATAACTTCGGGCTCGTTACTCATTAGTGCAGCTTCCTCACTTCATATTTTCGGTGTTTTCATTATGTTTTCATTACCAGTCCCACGTATCTGTGATTAACAAGTGAGTTCATTTTTCCTCTTGAACTATTTCCTGTGTGTATTTGTTGACCTGGTGTATCAGGTGGTGATCTGCTGCAGCAGCTGCCCTCGCAGGGTGAAGTAAAGTTCTGCTGAATTTAACTAAATGTGAAAACAACATTTGAAAAATCAATATTTATGGGAGTCCAGAGGGTTAAACTGAAGCTTCTCCAAGCAGCATCACAATAACAGACCCGGGATGTAAACCCAGAGTCAAGAGAGCCAGCTGCTGATGTGGAAGCCAGACTGAGTTAAACCCGTTCGGTGATCCAGGTTCTGGTGTTCAGACTCTCAGTCGTGTCTCGGGTGTCACCCTCAGACTGGTGGCACACTGCCAGACCTGTGACCTGTGCGGTGTATCAGTGAATTAAGTGTCTGCATTTATAATCTCATTACAGCAGCAGTGGAGTCACTGTGTACGAGCACGAGGCAGGAAGTGACTTCACGACTGTTAAATACCTGCAGGCATGAGCAGACTCTGAGCGCCCGAGTCAGTGAAGCTGTGGTCATGTGATGGTGGTGTTTAC